GGAAAAGAATGTTGAAATAAGATAGTTCCTATTTTTAAAAATTCAATAGTAACTACCACTCCTTATTTATAATAAAAGTTTTTTGGGACTTGGGTTCATTGTCTTGGATCACGTGGTTCTGAGAATATATTTACTTTGATTAATGTTATTTTTTTCTCTCCCGCCACCATAACTCTCTACTTCAAGAGTTTTCTGCAAAAAAAAAAAAAAGCCCACTTTATTCTTAATTTAGTTTGGCAACAACCATTCTGAAACTTTTTTAATAGAAATTTTCACAATTAGACATACCTCATACCAAGTCTCAAAGAGTAACACAATACTGCCAAGTCTCAGAGAGTTAGAAATCCTTTGAAAACTATCTACAAGTTCAACTGATACAGGTCCAGTGATTTCAAGTTCTCATTCATCTATATATTTGGAGTGTTAATTAATAGTTTAATACTTTACGAATATATATGGAAGAATTGGTATTTGGTTATAAGTACAAATTATCATTAAATACTATATTTGTGGTGGGTGACTAATATCATCTACTATTAAAATCAAGTGTTACTACATATTAGAAAAGGATTGAAGTCACAGATAATCTAAAATTTTATATATAGTGGAAGCTCTCTGATCTCTAAACCAGAACCCTTTGTAACATTTTGTCCTTCTAAATTACCTGCAACCACTGGTCTGTGCCTACTCTACCCCCACTAAACTAAAAAGAACTTACTGCTTTACTTCTTTAATTTTTCATTTGGCATTTAACAAATATTTATGGTACCTCTAAATAGGCCAAGAATTCATCTGGACCCTGAGGATACAAAGATGTATAATACAAAATTCCCTTTCTCAGGAAATTCCCAGTCTAGTGATGGATAGAGATAATTAATGAAGAGTTATAACACCCCATACCATAACACAGACATGAAGTAACATTTCTGGGAAACAAAGGAGGAGGCAGAGCAAAGGTTTGCATGTACCTGGGACAGATACGTTACCACGAAAAGGCCAAATGGGGGCCCGAGTGCTAGAAGCCTGAAGGCCAATCTGAGCCTAGACCTGGAAGGTGCTCCTGAGAACTAAACAAGGGAACTTGGGAGAGGACTCAGGGGGCTCCAGTGAATATGGGGAAGGATCTGCTGCTTTGAGTCTTCACACACTCTCTGCAATACTGCGTTCCACGGAAAGCACTGTAATCATGATTGCCAGCCTGCATGCAAACACACTTTCCCATGGCCCCTGAGATATCATTCTATCTCTAGCCAAGAGCCTCGCCTTCCAGAAACTTAAGCCATGATGTAGAAATCCAAACTCAGTTCATCAACACCATCTGCAGAACCAGCTGTTCACCTCCCAGACTTTTTTTTTTCTTTTTTTCAAGTACTGCAGGTTCACAGGGCAAAAAAAATTATGAATGAAAATGTTATCAGTGTTTAAAAAGCCGGCATTTCATAACTCTAAAACCATCCTCTAATGTTCTGTGGCAATGCTGTGTATGTCACCTGGGGAAGCAGGTTGTATTTGTCTTAAGGCAGGACTCAGACATTGGGTAATTTTTAGCAGTGTCTTCATCCTAAGAATCTAATTGCACATGCCGCAAAACTGGCATGTTTGTCAATTGGTGAAGGTGGTCACAGCCAGCAAGCCCTGTGTCACCTGCAGGCACTCTGCAGCCACTCTGCAGCCACAGTGCAGTGTCTCAGCACTTCCTATCATCCCATGCTCATCTGCTAGAAGATTCGACTTCGTGTTTATCTATCCATCTATTCATTCATGGAAAATCATTTACATCATGCCTATTATTTACTCAATAGATAATCAAAATGCAAAAAAAAAGAGAAAGAAAGAAACTCATGCTTCTCCAGTATTCTCAATTGTCCAAATGACTTTTTTTTCTCTTTTCCTTCCATTATTCTCTGACGATGATAAAAGTACATAGCGTAGGTCATTTGGAAGAAGAGATGAACTACGGCTAGGAAAAGACTGAAAATACAAACTGGCACATAGTAAAGTCTCATTACCTGTCTGCGATTGTTATCGTAACAATGTATAAAAACAGGATCAATGCATAAGACGTATGGTATGACCCACAACACTTTCATGAATATTAATCATGGTAAGTACACGCACATGACTGTGTCTCATCTACGCTGGCCACACATACACACACATATTCAAATGGTTATCCAATAATTTAGAGTGGGATGACAGCCTATTTGAATAATGTAATTTACTTTTTAAGTGTAGTTTATTTTTAAAACATCCACTTACCATTTCAGACTATTTTTGTGGGGAACAAAGATATGATTTATTGCTTTCTTGGTTATTTATTTTTAATATAAATTTATGGTTCAATGGAAGCCCAAGAAGGCAATTACAAATACAGATAATATGTTAATTATTAAATACGTTGATTTATTAAGTTAAAAAATTAAACTAAAATTAATCAAATTCTGTTGTTGAGGAGGCTTTGAAATGTTCAGCCATAGCAGCCCATGTCCAGTAGACACCCGGAGGACAGAAGATGTCAACACCCAGTCCCTCTGCCCCTGTGTCTCTGACCCAGAACGTCATGCTCCGAGGCAGTCAGATGTAACACATTTTGTACATGACGGCTGCTAGTTCTTTTTGTTGTTCCACATAATTACTACAGAATATCCGTACCTCATTATACTTCTCCAAAAAGTGCATTTTCCCTCCTTCCTTATTTTGGTCTACATTTGGAAAACTCAAACACAATTAAAAATATTGGGTGAAGGCTATGAATTTGAGGGCCAGAGGAGTTTGCTTTACTCACCTCAATCAACAGAGGCTTTCTTTTCATGTTCACCTTTACCTTCAAAAAAGTGGGAGGAATTAGGACACCTCATAAGATATTGCAATATGGAAACCTGTAAACAGTTTCTACGAGTTTACATCTACAAGTTATCCTGGAAGGCCGTTATCACTTATGGCAAGGAAGCTTAATTATGAGTGTACTGGTGTCTAATATAAGAGGAGGCAAGTTGGCTATAGCTTTCTCTGCTATTTTGAGGCCCTAAGCAGTCAGAAAGAGTAGAACAAGATTTCTGCTGTTGGTAACATGTCTACAGGGTATTTTATTTAATTTTAAATGTTATTGTCACAAACAGATCCTCAAAAGATGCCAAAATATCAAAGAAATAAGAAATAGTATCTCTGTGGGAGCAGAGGTAGGGGCCCGTGGACGGAAGGGCTGCAGTGGAGCTGTTTCTTTGAAGTGCTGTCAGACAGCTCTGGTGCAAGTGGCTCCGCTTAAGTCACAGGGATTAAGTGAAGCATCATCTCTGGCTTCCGCCTGGAACACATCTAATACCTCAAGGACCTTCACATCTTTCCAGGTGAATGCCAACAATACACAAGTGGATTGTTCCAGAAAGTATTTCATTGTAGTATTAATGAGTAATGGCAGATGTTATGGACAGGCTGGACTGTGTTCCTCTCCCCCAATAGATTCATTTTTTTGATCCTCTAATCCCTACTACCTCAGAGTATGACTATATTTAAAAATAGGAACATTCCTTAGGTGATTAAATTAAGATGATGCTATTAGGTTGAACCCTAATCTAATCTGACTGGTGGGTTTAAGAGGAAAATTAGGCATGCAAAAAGATGTAGGGGTTTGCAAGCATAGAAGAAAGACTGTGTGAGATCTCACAGCACCGAGGACTGTAAGTCAAGGAAAAAGGACTTGTAAGACACCAAACCTGCTGACATCTTGACTTTGGACTCCTGATCTCCCAAATTGTGGGAAATACAGTTGTTTAAGTCACCCACCCTGTGCTATATAGTACAGTGGCTCAAGCAAACTAATCCATCAGGCAATCAAGAATAGAGAGACTGTGGCTGTAACTGACAGACTGGTTTAGAAACCACATAAAACTGGCCAGGTGTGGTGGCTGACATCTGTAATCCCAGCATTCTGGGATCGCTTGTGCTCAGGAGTTGGAGACCAGCCTGAGCAAGAGCGAGACACCATCTGTACTAAAGATAGAATAAAAGCAGGGTGTGGTGGTGGGCACTGGTAGTCCCAGCTACTTAGGAGATGGAGAGGAGAGGATTGCTTAAGCCCAGGAGTTTGAGGTTGCTGTGAACCATAACACCAGGGCACTCTAGTCTGGGGCAACAGAGTAAGAGTCCATCTTTAAAAAACAAACCCATAAAACTTCGGGTATTCAGACACAGGGAAGTGAGAGATCAGCCCATGGAATTCTTGGACCGAACATGTAAACTGGAGATTGCTAAAGGCATTTGAACTATTATTTTAAAGGAGATTATTTGTAAATCTACCTGCTAACAATGACATAGGGATTAAGAAGGTAGACTCGAACTTCTTAGATTTGAATGTGGTTCTGTGCACGATCTGTGTAAGTTAGTGCCTCTAACTTACTCTGTCTCTTCTTCTCTCAGTTCTTTATCAGTGGCGATAACATGACTAACTACATAGGATTTTCATAAGGATTAAATTAATCCATAAGTATAAAGCATTTAAATAGTTCCAGGAATACAATGATGCACACAAGTGTTAGTTATCACTATTCAAACTACTTTATTAAGTCGATTTTCACAAAAATTCTTTAGGCAACTTAGATGTGAACTTAATCCAGATTAAACTATTATTAAGTGGTATAATTAATATTTGACCCATAGTTTATTTATTGTAATCCATAGAAACAAAGGCATTACTTACAAAGCGTTACCAAAATAATGCCATGTAGATCAAGAAGTTGTATTTAGGTTTACTAGGTTCATATTAACACAATTTAAATGTCCTTTAAATGACAAATTTACAAACAAAAATTATGTGTTTACTACTATAGTTTGAGAGGTTGATATGATTCGGTTTAAGGCAGTGTATTGAAGCCACTACAACTTCCCTATTTTTCTAGAGAAATTTATGAATAATAAGCAACTAAGGTAAATGGTCAATGATAAATATTTTACAGAGGAAACCAATAAGGTAAACAGAAATACAAATTTTAGAATATATTCACAATGCTTTACTGTATGCATTTTTATCTTCTACAGTTTTTATTCTTAAACATTTATTCAAGAAATAGAAATATCTGAAACTTAGATTGAACAATGCCTTCTCATTACCGTTTATAAGTCCATTTATTCACAAACAATTACATCTGTTGAAAGAAGGCGTTTTATATTTTCTTTGGTGTGCATGTGTCTAGATTAAGAAATACTTTCTCTTTTTCTTTAAGTATAACGTTATACCTGCATAGTGGTGGTCTGTGAAAGAGAAAAAGAGAGAGACCAAAAAAAAATGTATTAGTAAGACAGCAAAGTTTATTTCCTCCTCACATAACCATTGGAATAGTCAATGCTTATAAGTAGATAGTTTTCCAAATGCAGAGAGTGGAAACAAATCTATAGGGTCATTTTCAGGCTATCTCATTTGGCTGTGTAGGGATAAAGTAGGCAATGCTTATGAGAAATAAGAAAACATGTTTCAACTTCTTCTTTCTTGCTACTTCCCTAGAATCCATACATTGTATGGTAAATATAGTTAGATACTCAAATAGCTGAAATCTGACCTCAGCTCAGTGGCCAGGCAGTTCCTTCCATCATGATAGCCACCATGAAAGAGTTGGGGTGAATTGCACCAAATTTTGCCAAAGTTATTTAATCAATCCTGTTTTGCCACTTGCTAGGGTTAAAGCCCAATTATTCTATATTTTGGAGAAATCGTTTAGTATTTGAAGCTTTCTGAGAAGCCACATCATTGTGGCGAATTGGGCATCTTGTTTTGGTATTTATCTTCCTGTTCAAGTCTTGGAAACCATCAAAAAAGGTAATCAACCAGAATAAAAAAGGATTGATAACATTTTAAGAAAACACCAAAAGAAAAAAAAAATGATAGTAGTAATGCATGAAAACTTCCAGTAAGAACAATGGCAACTTAGTCAAAGTAAAGGAACCAAGCAGACAGCCCAGGTGCTGGCGGCTGCCCTTTGCTTGACATGCATTGCCCAAGAGATGTTGTGTCCCAGTCCCATTCAACTTGGTCAAGACACCCCTGAACACACATTCAAAAGATTTTTGTTAAGTTAAATCATTCCTTTTTTAAAAAAAATAAATCAACTTTCTGTATCTGCTAATATGTATAAAAGTAATACAAGCTAGATATATTCATCTCTATTTAGAAAAGCTAATACAAGAAGATCCTACAGTATTTTCCATTTGGAATAATAAAGGTAGCTTAGATGAACTACTATAGGACTAGATGAAAACAAACAGTACCTCTACCTTATAAGATTTTTAATTAATGGTAAACCTTATTAAGAAGTTATAAATATTTTTTTAATAACCTATTTTTAAAATAACTACATATAGGTGATTTGGGTGAAAAATCAGACATCATATTTCTTTGTTGTTAAGAAAAAAAGTGGATGGATAGTTTTTCTACTGTCTCAAACAAATGTGTACATACTTCCGTCAATTATTTATGTATCCTGCTATGTCTCTTATTTATTGAAGGTGCTTTCAATTCTATGAATTTCTCGGATATTCATTTTTGACCTTATAAACAGATACATTACCTAATCCACGAAGTTCTTTCCTGTTAGCATATTTATAAGAAAATAGTAAGACAAATATACATTTTATTCCTACAGTAGACTAAAAGCTCACAACCCTATTAGCATTGAAATAGATTTTATCAGTAATAGAGCAGTTATTTTTTAAAGCATTCTACATTTTACAAAGCCGCTAAAAACATTATAAAAGTTTATGCAGGTTCATGATGTATACCAATGTTAACTTTCATGAAAGCCTTTGGAAAAATTAATTTTCTGTCTTTTTACACCATGAACCCCATTCAGCTTCATTGTCACAACTCTAATTTTGACATTTTTTAATTCTGTGTTATTAAAATAGGGTGACCAGACGTCCCACTTTTCAACAATTTGTCCTGCATCCCACAGCGTTTTAAAAAAGTCCCAATTTTTGGAAAGAATGCACAAACGGGTGGGAGAACAAGAAGGGAATATACAGTTTTCGGCTGCCATGTGGCTATTCGCCAGAATATGAGTTTTATATTATTTTTGTTAATTTTATAATGTTAAACTGTAATAATAACAAATAATTGCTGAGAAGGGATTATCGAGAACTGCTTATCAAAGTTTGCATTGTTGTCAGGCCCTGCCCTGCCCAGTCCCTGCCCCGCCATACCGATGTTAAAATCTGGTCACCCTATATTAAAAGTTTCTTCTCCCCAGTCAATAAAAATAAAAACACTATAATTTAGAAGAAATTTTGTGCTATATATTGAATCCTTATGAAAAAGAACATTACATATTTTTTAATCTCAAAATGTGCACTCAGTGCTGCATTTCTACGGCTTTGTTGCTGGGATCCTGCCTGGGGGCAGGGTCTGTAAGACCTGTGGATCTGGTGGCCATCAACTGAAGAAATATAAAGTTAGAAACAATGAGACCGACAAGACTTACAGAATGGAATATTCAAAGGTGGGAGCACAGGGGATCACCACCTGTTTGTGAGGTGCTAGAGGTAGCCCCAAGTGTCAGTTCCACTCAGCTTTTATTGAAGGCTATTTGCTCATTAACCCAGAGAATAAGCTGAGGAAGGGAACAAAGATGCGAGCAGTTTCTCTGAGCAAGCATCTTAGCTACTATTGTTTCTAAAATCATTAACTTTAAGGGTCTGAGCAGTCTTGAGAAATCCAGAACCTGAGCCTTGTGTCAGGGCAGCCTCTGGTCTGTGGTCATGCACACAGTTTCCTGGAGGGGGTTGGGGTGGTGGTGTAAATCCCCACAAGTTAACTGTGGAGTAAAATGTCACTGGCATCAATATCCTCTGAAGAATCAGTGGAAAAGAGGACTTTTCCTCCCATCACAATTACAGAACGTTTTCATCTGCAATAAGGGACATAAGCCCTACCCATATTTCAGGGCTCAAGCTATTCCCTTGATTTCTGCCTCAGCCATAATACAAATCTCCACAATGGGTATTTTGGCTGTTGACTAGACAGGAGGTGGCCTAGTTAATTTTTCTTGCTAGGCCTTGCATGCAGCTTCCTCTGTGGCCATTATTCATTTACAGTGTTTACAGACCCAGCAGGGATGTGAGTAAGCTGTATCCCCTATAGGCCAGGCTTCTAGGAAAAGCAGTCAACTTGCTCAGATAAGAAATTTAGCATCAGTTGGTTTAAAGGTAAACTAGCCAACTTTCCTTTGTTCTGCCTCACTTCTTATTTATTTTCCCCTTTTTTCTGGGGGTGTTTTCCCTTGCCTGGAATGGAGTCTTTAGTCCCCATTCTGCCTGCACTTTGCTAACATCTTACATTGGCAGGAATGAACACCTTACATTGGTTAAATATAAGGTTTATTAAAAATAATAAAAGAAATTCAGTGACAAGAAAACTCTGAAATTCTAATATGATCTCGTGTTTTATTTTAATCCATATATATTATACAAAATCACAAGAAATATATGTGCTTTCTTATTTTCCAAAGCTCCCTAATGCTTTTGTACATCCTATCACCACATCTACATCTAATATTTTCTTCTTTTGCCATAAATATAATGGCCTCTGAATTTTACTTATTTTAAATTAACCAATAAAATTGTATGTAATTACTGTGTAGAACATGATTATTGTGTTATAGTAAATATACAATGTAGAATGGCTAAATGTGGCTACTTAAAATATGCATTGTACCTCACACAGATGTTTTTGTGGTAAGAGCATTTAACACCCATTCTGTTTAGCATTTTTCCAGAATAAAATACATTGTCATTATCAATAGTCACCATGCTATACAATAGATCTCTTGAACTTTTTCCTCCTACCTAACTAAAATTTTGTATCCTTTGACCAACATCTCTTAACACTCTTCCCTCCCCCAGCCTCCCTGGTAACCGCCATTCCACTCTCTACTTCTATGAAATCAACTTTCTTAGTTTCCATATATGATGAGATCATGCAATAATGTCTGTCTGGGGCTGGCTTATTATACTTAACATGTTTTCCATTTTCACTCATGGTGCTTCAAATCAAAGATTTCCTTCTTTATTATGGCTAAATATTATTTCATTATGTGTGTGCATGTATGTATATGCATATATATACTTACATATACTACATTTTTGTGTATATGTACATATACATACTACATTTTCTTATCCACTTATTTTTTTATGAACAGTTACATGGGTTTTATATCTTGGTTATAACTGATGCTGCAATAAACATGAAATGCAGATATTTCTTCAACATTCTTATTTCATTTCCTTTGAATGTATACCCAGTGGTATAACTGTTGATATGGTAGTTCTATTTTTAATTTTTTGAGCAATTTCTACCAGTTCTACTAATTTATATTACCACAACAGTGTTTAAGCATTCTCTTTTTGCCTTATCCTTGCTAACATGTATTATTTTTTGTTCTTTGGATGTAGCCATTCAAACAATGAGGTGATATTTCGCTGTGATTAAGTTGCATTTCCTTCATGATAAGTGATGTTGGACATTTTTTAAATAGACCTGTTAGCCATTTCTATGTCTTCTTTTGAGAAATGTCTATTCCGATCCTGTGCCCATTTTAAAATTGGGTTATTAATTTTCTTGTTCTTAAATTGCTTGAGTTTCTTATATATTTTGGATATTAACTCCTTTTCAGACATATAGTTTGCAAATATTTTCTTACATTCTATAAGTTGTCTCTTCAGTTAACTATTTACTTTGCTGAGTAGAAGCTTTTTAATTAAATGTAACCTCATTTGTCTATTTTTGCTTTTGTTGCCTGTGCCATCAAGCTCATATTTAAAAAAAATATTGTGTAAACCAATGTTACAGAGATTTTCCCTTATATTTTCTTCTAGAGATTTAATAGATTCTGTTTTAGAGGTAAGTAACTTATCCTTTTTCAGTTTTTGTTTATATCAGGTGAGATAGGGGTCTTATTTCATTCTTCTGTATATGGATATATAGTTTTCCCAACACCACTTATTCAAAGAGATTGACCTTTCCCCATTGTGAGCTCTGGGTACTTTTGTTCAAAGCCAGTTTGCTGTAAATATGTGGATTTATTTCTGGGTTCTTCATTATTTTTCATTGGTATATGTCTCTATCTTATGAAAATATCATTTTTTCGTGGCCATAGTTCTGTAGTATATGCTGAAATCAGATAATTTGATTCTTCCAGGTTTGTTCTATTTGCTCAAGATTTGTCACTATTCAGGATATTTTGTGTAGTTCCATGTAAATT